TGCCAAATTAAGTTATTTGAGTACATAGAGCTAGCAAAGATGACACAGAAGATCAGGCATCAGAAAAACACCAAATTTATTAATGATTGGAACAAATTTATTTCATATACGGAAGCAAACCTAGGAAATATTAAAATCACAGTAGGTGAAGAATAAAACCTGTGATGCCACCTGCCCAGGAAGACTCCCTGAGTGAGTGCTTGAGGGCCCTGCTCCTTCCTGCCACTTACCATCTGGCCTGGGGCGGGGCCTGGGGCCTCATAAGGACTGCGTGCTGCTTGCTGCCTGCTGCCCAGGAAGACTCCCTGAGTGAGTGCTTGAGGGCCCTGCTCCTTCCTGCCACTTACCACCTGGCCCAGGGCGGGGCCTGACAGGCCTCACTAGGACAGTTGTTACTGCCGGAGAGGCACAGAGTGTTTTTAAAATGTGTTTTTTTTTTAATTCTTTGGATTTTTTGTATGTGCGGGGTGGGGGTGGGATGGATGTTGGTTGGGCTTGGGGAATTATTATTATTTTTTATGTTTTTGTAATTTTTACATTTTTCGTTTGTATTGTTTTATTGGTTTTGTTTGTTTGTTTAAGGTGTTATTTTGTTTTTAGGGGGAGGGTTCAGGGCTGCCGGGGAGTGGGCCCCAGCCCATAAAATGGCTGGGGCATGTTCCACAGGGCGGGATGCACTGGGACAACCGATCTCAGTGATCACGGGTAGGAGGAGGAGTTACGCTAAGACCAGACCCTGTCATTACAGAGGAGGCAGGTTTAGTCGTTGTCTGAGGACTATCCCTGCCTCCGGGTCTGGTCCTGACCGGATGGATACTAGAATCAGCAAGGGATACCCACATGACCTGAAGGTGCTGCTGTGCAATGCCAGGTCAATGATTCATAAGACCACTGCCATCCATGACTTGATCATGGATGGAGGATTTGACCTGGCATGTATAACAGAGACCTGGTTGGATGAAGCAGATGGGCCTGTCCTTGCCGCTGCTTGTCCACCAGGTTTCTCTTACGCACAGCAACCCAGGTCATGTGGGCGGGGAGGGGGGGTTGCAGTGATTTTTAGGAAGTCATTAGTTTGCACCAGGCATCCTACTGGGAAGACCCAGTTTTCTGAGTGCATGTTCTGGAAGTTGGGCAATAGGGGCAGTACAGGATTCCTTTTGGTGTACCGACCTCCCCGCTGCACCAAGGATTCCCTGCCCGAGCTGCTTCAGGTCGTGGCGGATGTTCTCCTGGAGACACCTAGCTTGGTCGTCCTAGGGGATTTTAACATCCATGCCGACACGACCTTACAAGGGGCCGCTCGGGACTTCGTGGAAAGCATGGCCTCCATGGGGCTGTCCCTGAATAAGTCTAGCCCAACCCATAGCCGTGGACATGCCTTGGACCTGGTGTTTACCTCTATGGATGTTGGTGATCTGACACTAAGTAAAAGCGAAACGAAAGAAGTGCCATGGTCAGATCACTTCCTGGTGCAACTGGACTTCTCTGCGACCCATCCCCTCTGCAGGGAGGTGGGACCAATTCGGATGGTCCGCCCCCGCCACTTAATGGATCCAAATGGTTTCCAGAGAGTGGTAGGGGATGCTTTATCCCATGTTGATGGCCTTTCAGCTGATTCCCTGGTGGCCCGCTGGAATGTGGAGTTAACCAGGGCTATTGACTGTTTGGCTCCGAAGCGCCCTCTCCGATTGCATGGAGCCCGGACAGCCCCGTGGTTTTCCACGGATCTGAGGGCAATGAAACAATCGTTGAGACGGCTAGAGCGCCGGTGGCGGAGAACTCATTCCGAATCTGACCGGACACAGGTTAGAGCTCAACGTCGAGCCTACCAAGTGGCGATAGCGATGGCGAAAAAGAATTTCTTCACCGCCTCTATTGCATCTGCAGAAAACAGCAGCAGGAGACTTTTTCAGGTGGTTCACAATTTAGCGGAACCACCTGCAACATCGGGGCCCAGTACGGGCCACGTGTTCTCCTGCAATGATTTTGCAAAGTTTTTTGCAGATAAAATCGCTCAGATTCGGGAAGAAGTAGACTCCACCGTGGGAGCAGGGCCGGGGCGGGAGAGTGCTAGAGTTCTGTCTAGTCAAGTTGTGTGGGATCAATTCCAATCTGTTACCTCCGAGGATGTGGACAGGCTGCTTGGACGAGTGAAACCAACCACCTGTCTCCTGGATCCTTGCCCATCCTGGCTTATAAAAGCTAGCCGGGAAGGACTGGGCAATGGGCTTCGTGGGGTGGTGAATGCTTCCCTCCGTGAGGGAGCCTTCCCAGACCCGCTGAAAGAGGTGGTTATTAAACCGCTTCTTAAAAAACCATCTTTAGATGCGGCCACGATGGCCAACTATCGCCCAGTCTCAAATCTTCCATTCCTGGGCAAGGTGATTGAGCGAGCGGTTGCCGAACAACTCCAGGCACGCCTGGAAGAAGCGGACCATTTGGATCCCTTCCAATCGGGATTCAGGCCTCACCATGGGACTGAAACTGCCTTGGTCGCACTGGTTGATGATCTCCGGCGGGCTAGGGACAAAGGTGAGAGCTGTTTCCTAGTTCTGCTGGATCTCTCAGCGGCGTTTGATACCATCGACCATAACATCCTTCTGGACCGTCTTGAGGGGCTGGGAGCTGGGAGCACTGTTATACAGTGGTTCCGCTCCTTCCTCCTGGGCCGTGTTCAGAAAGTGGTGGGGGGGGATGAGTGTTCAGACCCCTGGGCTCTCACTTGTGGGGTGCCTCAGGGTTCTGTCCTCTCCCCCATGCTTTTCAACATTTACATGCAGCCGCTGGGAGAGATCATCAGGAGGTTTGGGCTGGGTGTTCATCAGTGTGCGGATGATACCCAGCTCTACCTCTCTTTTAAATCAGAACCAGTGAAGGCGGTGAAGGTCCTGTGTGAGTGTCTGGAGGCGGTTGGAGGATGGATGGCGGCTAACAGATTGAGGTTGAATCCTGACAAGACAGAAGTACTGTTTTGGGGGACAGGAGGCGGGCAGGTGTGGAGGATTCCCTGGTCCTGAATGGGGTAACTGTGCCCCTGAAGGACCAGGTGCGCAGCCTGGGAGTCATTTTGGACTCACAGCTGTCCATGGAGGCACAGGTCAAATCCGTGTCCAGGGCAGCTGTTTACCAGCTCCATCTGGTACGTAGGCTGAGACCCTATCTGCCTGCGGACTGTCTCGCCAGAGTGGTGCATGCTCTGGTTATCTCCCGCTTGGACTGCTGCAATGCACTCTACGTGGGGCTACCTTTGAAGGTGACTCGGAAACTACAACTAATCCAGAATGCGGCAGCTAGACTGGTGACTGGGAGCGGCCGCCGAGACCATATAACACTGGTCTTGAAAGACCTGCATTGGCTCCCAGTACGTTTCCGAGCACAATTCAAAGTGTTGGTGCTGACCTTTAAAGCCCTAAACGGCCTCGGTCCAGTATACCTGAAGGAGCGTCTCCACCCCCATCATTCTGCCCGGACGCTGAGGTCCAGCGCCGAGGGCCTTCTGGCGGTTCCCTCATTGCGAGAAGCAAAGCTACAGGGAACCAGGCAGAGGGCCTTCTCGGTAGTGGCGCCCGCCCTGTGGAACGCCCTTCCAGCAGATGTCAAAGTGATAAATAACTACCTGACATTCAAGAGACATCTTAAGGCAGCCCTGTTCAGGGAAGTTTTTAACATGTGATATTTTATTGTATTTTTGGTTTTAATGGAAGCCGCCCAGAGTGGCTGGGGAGGCCCAGCCAGATGGGCGGGGTATAAATAATAAATTATTATTATTATTATTATTATTATTATTATTATTATTATTATATGTAAAGATAATAGTTGTAAAAGAGTACTGCAGAGGATAACATCGGGATATAGCTCAAACTGTGGTAGAGGGAAGTCAGATTAGCAATACAACATGATTTAATGGTTTTTTGTGATTTACTCCTATTTATGTACTTTTGCTTTTTTTTCTCTTTTTTTAGTTTTATGTATACTGTTTGTTTTTCGTTTTTTTGTTTTTCTTTTTCTCTTTTAATATGTTGGTGGTTGTGGATGTATAATATGTATTTTATGCTGGAAATAAAATAAAAAGTTTTAAAAAGTAAAAAAAAAAAAAAAGGAGGGGAGAGGAATTGTGTCCATGACGGCTGATCTGCTTGCACAACAGACTTCCACTGGCACAATAGAACAACTTCTCCTTCCTTTCCCCACCCCACAACCCCCACCCACAGAATCCACCCCAGAGGATGGGGGGACCCTTCTTATCAGATTTATGGGGTGCATGGGGAGATGAGATGTTGCGTGAGGACAGTCCTGTGTAGGAAAAAAATACAAGACCTGCAACACAAGCTGAATAATACTAATAAACGGCTCATCGATTTCTGGCACATCTAACCCTGTCCAGTTGTACCTGCCTTTTGCAATTAGTCTGGAACGTTGGTCACACTGACAGTGTAAGTAGCTTGGTTCCTGCGATTCACGAGATGAAGAGCTCCGTGTGACTTTTTTCTCTTTTACTGGCTTAATTTTTCACTTTTTATTTTCATATTATTCTCTGGAACAGCTTGTGGTATATCTGTTAGGGTGGAACAATCCCACTCACGGAGTCCCCCTGCTGTGCTATTCAAAGCTCTGTGCTAGGTCCTCTAAGAAGTAGCTCTGACGATGAACTGTTGTGATTACCAAATCAGTTTTGTTAATGCCCAAAGTCCAGAAGGGTTGCTGTTAAATATTGTGATCAAGCATGTGAAAATTTACCGGGAAAGCACTATTTTAAGGAAATTATCCCATCCAATAGCTGCAGGTGCCCACTACAGGGCACTTAGAATAACTAACGTATAATTTTGATTACTACATTTTGAGGCTCCTAGTGAGTCATTACCAAAAAGCTTTACTAGTAGGAGAATGGACCTTGGCAGCAAAGAATAATGTAAAATGTGTAATTTCAACTTCTGCATAACTTGAGAGTGAAAACCAGCTGAAGCATTGTCACAGCGTTGCATCCGTTTGTGTCTTAGATTTTGCTCCGGGAGGGGTGCAAGAAGATTCTTGTTGCTGACTCGCTTTCCTTGCTGAAAAAGATGCACCGAACACAAATGAGAGGAGTCCTTGTGGATGGTATGTGCAACGCATCTCTGGAAATTTCTGAAGCATAATAGTTCCCATTGCTCACATCCAAACCTACCTAAAATGTAGGTTGCAGTATGTGGTTCTTAAATCTTTATTGGACTTTGAACTTTTTACCGTGGTATTATCTTTATTAGTAACAAAACACACGACAGAAAACATCTAAATACGTGTGCAAATTTTCTATTCCCTTATTTAGCCTGAAAAATAGATTTTAGGGCATATTAAAGGTATCAAGTTCCTATCCTCATGGAGTAGCAGTTAATGGGCATTGTGGAGAGTCTCTTTATTGAATATTACCTATACATTGGGCCACTTTTGCATGTAATGCTAAGCCAAACTATGGTTTGGCATTAATATGTTGGTTCCTGCTCCTCTATTCCTGCTGCTGTGAGCTGAGCCATGGTTTGGCTTGGTTTGTCATCTGAACCTGGATTCAGTGATTTATCTCATTCCAGACCCGCCACAATCCACAGTTTGTGTTTAGGTAAACAGTTTGTGGTTGGCTTGCTCGAGACAAACCATAAGCCCAGGGCTTAGCTTACTGCAGTGGGAGGTCTGGGGGAGCAGTACAGCAACTACAGTCTTCTCTCTGGGAACCCTTCTTCATTCATGCTAAGCCATAGTTTTGGGATGCGGGTGGCGCTGTCGTCTAAACCACTGAGCCTAGGGCTTGCCGATCAGAAGGTCAGTGGTTTGCATCCCAGCGACGGGGTGAGCTCCCGTTGCTCAGTCCCTGCTCCTGCCCATCTAGCAGTTTGAAAGCACGTCAAAGTGCAAGTAGATAAATAGGTACCGCTCCGGAGGAAGGTAAACGGCGTTTCTGTGCGCTGCTCTGGTTTCGCCAGAAGCGGCTTAGTCATGCTGGTCACATGACCCGGAAAAACTCTGCGGACAAACGTCGGCTCCCTCGGCCAGTAAAGCGAGATGAGCGCCGCAACCCCAGAGTCGTTTGCAACTGGACTTAACTGTCAGGGGTCCTTTACCTTTACCTTTTTAAGCCAAAGTTTGGCTTAGCATTGTGTGCAAACCATCTCATTGCGTGCAAACCGGCCTGAGATAGGTGGTATAACATTATTCAGATAAATTGTGTTGACTTGTACCTGTTCTTTTTCTTACAGAGGAGAATATATGTGAAACATGCCTTTCCCCTATACTGCCTACAGGTAAGATATTTTGTGTCCAAAATACAAAGCCCCCCAGAGAGAAGATCTCTGGCTGTTAGGGTGCTCTGAATGGGTGGTGGTTGTGGAAGATAGTGAGCAGCCCTTAGGGGCCTGTCCTCAAACTCCGTTCCTGCTCCTTTCCCCTTTGCACTACTGTATGTTCTGGTGTACAAGACAACTTTTTATCCCTGGAAAATCACCCCAAAAGTCGGGGGTCGTCTTATACGCTGGGTATACGCTTTGGGAAGGTGGAGAGGGAGCCGGTGAGCAGAGGCATCGCTCCTCCTCTCTCCCCACAGAAGGGGACGTGGAAAGTCCTTCCGAGTGCGGCACTCACCTGCCTGCCCGCCAAATGCCTCACCTCGGGCTGCTGCTGCTGCTGCTGTGACGGCAGAGGCAGTGGAGGGGTATGTGCTCTGCCCCTGGCGGCACTCAAACTCTAAAACTCTAAAACTCTAAAATTGAACAGCAAAAGTTGGAGGTCGTCTTATATGCCCAGTCACCTAATACGCCGGAATCTACGGTACAGTGGTACCTCGGGTTACATACTCTTCAGGTTACACACTCCACTAACCCAGAAATAGTGCTTCAGATTAAGAACTTTGCTTCAGGATGAGAACAGAAATCGGGCTCCGGCAGCGCAGCGGCAGCAGGGGGCCCATTAGCTAAAGTGGTGCTTCAGGTTAAGACCAATTTCAGGTTAAGTACAGACCTCTGGAACAAATTAAGTACTTAACCCGAGGTACCACTGTACTCCAAAAAAACGGTGGTGTTGGTAAGAAACCATTTCAGTTTTGATTTCCTGTGACCCTGTACAAGCAATCTAATTTACCTGTGCATCATGGGTGATGTGTCCTGTTTAGCTACCCAAGGTGAAATTGGAAGGTGCCACTCTGCATAGCATCCCTTACCTGGGTCATGTGGCAGCAGTGGCAGGTTCAGGTGAGGTTCCTTGCAGAGATTTGGGGAGATCTTCCCAGAAGCCACTGCTGGTACCGCCTCTGCTTCACCAGCAGCAGCAGCAGGGCACCCATGAAGCCTGAGGTGGCTTCTTCAGCCTGCCTCATGGGTAAGCTGGCCCTGCTTGGCATGTACTACAATATACCACATACAGTAGCCACATCTGTGTTTTTCTTCCTACGCAGCTTCTCTGGAAGGGACAAACTCGGTTGCTCCAGGGCATAGAGGAATCAGCCTCTATATCTTTGCTGCTAGGCTTTCTTCTGATTCACTTAAACCAAGGGGGGGGGGTGGGATCCAAGAATTGAAGGTTTATTTCACATAGATGCTAAGAACAGGTTTTTTAATGCAATACGATTCATGCCCTGCATCAGTTTATGTATGTGCAGAATGTTGCGGATATGCTTAGAATGCAAATGACCGTCTCCAGAAATGCAGCTGTTTTATTTGAAGGACGTGTTGGGTGCTCATGGAAAGCTAGTGTTGCTCTTGAATTGTGGAGCCCTGGGTTCAAATCTCCACTTGGACATCAGTCTCTTTACTGGAGCATAGCCAGTCAAGCACTGTGTTTCTAAGAGCATGGAAACATTAAAAAAAAAACATTTTAACATGCTCAGTGTAAGGTCATGTGATGTTACCATAAAAAGGTAGGGAACACAAAATTAATTTGCCTGCCTCCACACACACACACACACACACACACACACACTTCAAAATGTCCTTGGATATTGCTGCTTAATAAGCTGCTATATATTGAGGTAGCATCTATCTTGGTGCTTTTTATAGCCTTCAGCTCATGTATTTTGCTAATACATCATGTATTTTTCTCTCTTCTCTTGCCAGATGCATCTAAATCTTTCAGTGTAACAGTGTTTCACTGCAGGCATATGTTCCACAAAGAGTGTTTTCCTGAACTTAGCACAGTAAGTAACCAGCTTAATCTCTGTGGATTCTAGAAATTGCTATAGTCAAAGACAAAAGGACAAATAAGTTATTTTTGCCGTCTGCTGAGCAGGGCAAGCATTTATCACGGATTATAAAATAATTATAGTAATTGTTCTTAGCTGGATCTCAGTAGGTGTTTAATACCAAAATATTGAGCCCATCCAAATAACCTCTTCCGCCCCTTCGCCTTACAGCACCACAGGTTTTAAAAACTGCTTCCATTAGCAAGAAACTGTGGTCTCCACTCAGCCAGATATTAAATGTAACTTTGATATCAAAGGGGAAACATTCAACTTGATTCTGACAAAAAGGAAGTATTACTTTCTTTTTATTGCAAAGATAAAGAATAATGTACGTATTTTGATATGATATTGGTGAGAGCCCCAAATATAACTTAGTGATTGCAAAGTTAAGGGGACACCTTAATCCAGGGGTCAGCAAACTTTTTCAGCAGGGGGCTGGTCCACTGTCCCTCAGACCTTGTGGGGGGCCAGACTATATTTTGGGGGGAAAAAGAGAGAAAAGAAGAACGAATTCCTATGCCCCACAAATAACCAACCCAGAGATGCATTTTAAATAAAAGCACACATTCTACTGATGTGAAAACATGCTGATTCCCGGACCGTCCGCAGGCTGAATTTAGAAGGCGATTGGTCCAGATCCGGCCCCTGGGCCTTAGTTTGCCTTAGCCTGTAGAACGAACTCTTATGCTACCTATCAAGGTCAAAATACTTGGCAAGTGTTTGAAGACATGGTATTTGGGTTGCAATCCTAGACACACAATGACAAGCAAACTGCAATTAGTTTAAGGAAATGAAGTGAATATAAACTCTGCATTCACCATCTTGCTGAGAACCCTGTAACATCCATTGGACACACACACACACACACACAGAGAGAGAGAGAGAGAGAGAGAGAGTGAGTTTACTGTTTCTTGAAAGAATTCTATCTCGTGACACATCTTGTTTTACCAATTTTGTTGTAAAATTAAATCTTTTTCCTGTTTAACTTCCATAAGTCTCCAAAGTGCTAGAGTTTTCTTTTCTTTTTTTGGTGCACTCTTCCTGGAGGTGTTGCAATACCAGGTTGGTGCATGGAATGGCCGGACCATCTCTTATTTCAGTTTACTAAACTGAGATTATATTGAGTGAACACAGCCAATGCTCATTTTTTTGTTTAAGTATGTATGTTGCCTTTCCAGGCTATGCATGTCAGGAGTTCAGCCTACTCTCGAGTAGGACCATGGTAGAGACACATGCCCGACTGGCATGTTCCCTCCCTCCTGGTCGATCGGGAGCTTCAAAAGCTTTCTTCTGCCTAAACATCACAGCGACCGATGCCAACTGACACCGGCACACTTAGGGATCTGCAGAGTTTGCGCATCAAGTGTAACAGACCTCAGCAACTCAGCATTTTGGCTAATCGACTTTATTTACATAGAAACACACACGGAGCACTGCAACATGGCTCCCTCTCTCTCTCTAGCATCAGACAGCAAAGAGAAAAAGGACAAAAGACAATACTTCACGGGACAATAGTCCCACTTCACGGAACACAGTAACACAAACATCTTGTCTTTGTCACTTCCCACTCTGTGGAGTCAAAACATATACCGTCATGTGAAATACAACAATCCCATGACTGCAATCATAGATCAGGAATTCTAACAATGCAGCCCTCTCAAGACAGCTCACATCATATAGCAAAAGAATAAAATGCAGTTTTAACAATAGCAATTTAATCTAAAAGCCAGCGATAAAATAGTGAAATATTAAAACAAGAAAATGGAGCAAAACAGAATGTGTGAAACTTAACTGCGTTTTCTATAAGGCAGCAGCAGTATCATCATATATCTGTTTTAAAATTATATTTACTTAACTGCCATAATCTTCTTTTTATGTGGCATGTAAGCATTATATAAATCCCTAAAAACTAATACGTTCCATAGGCCTATTGCACAGATAGGTTAGCATCCAAATAACCATGTACCGTATATACACAAGTATAAGCCAACCCGAATATAAGCCGAGGCACCTAATTTTAGCACAAAAAACCTGGGAAAACTTATTGACTTGAGTATAAGCCGGTTCACCACACCACAAACCTGGTGGTGGCAGCAGCGGTGGAGGAAGAACAAGCAGAAAAAGTCGACTTATACTTGAGTATATACGGTATTATGTCTGTATGCCTAAGGGATCATTGGACTTAACAGTTCTCAAACAGAAACCACCATAGACGCCAACTCCCAATAATACATTTGAGGGGACAAGGCCCCTGAAAGTTAATGGGCATTGCCATTCAAATGGGGTGTGGGTGTTGTGATCAATTACGCAGGGCGGAGCTTACCTGGGACACCCCCACCCCCAATATTTTATTCAAGTTGGTACCACTGGAAGCCACTATGCCGCACAGCAAACCACTTCCAAAACTAGGGTGTTATATGGCATGGGAGGCTGATGTTCAACGAATATTAATAAAATATAGTATTGCTTTTTACCGCTACCAACTTGGATGGCTTTGAAAGAGGACCAGACAAATCCATGGAGAATAAGGCTGTCCGTGGGGGAAATGCTCAAAATCGCACTACTTGCACACAAGCTCTTAGGCATAGCTCTTTGGATCTTAGCCATAGTCTATTTGTTTTCGGCCATGTTCATGTGTTTTGGCACAAATGTGCCTAGAAATAATAGGCAATTGATTTACAAAACCAATACTGTTTTGTTTTTGTTTTCAGGATTCGTCGGTACACTTCTGTAACATCTGCAGTGCTAAACACAGAGGTCCAGGCAGTGCCATCTTGGAGATGAAAAAATAATAATCTTTGGCATGTTGAGAGCTTATATTCTTCTATGTGTGACTACTTTAATGTGGCTCAGTGGAGCAGTGCTTCATTGTCAATATGCTACACACTGTGTGCATATGCGTATGTAACTTTGGCTGTGGATGTAGTAAGAGGGACTCTTTAAATCATCCAGCTCACTGATATTTCCTATGTGGCTTTAAAGTGCTGGCAGCCAGGAAGTAATCAATGTGTTCCCTAATACACCATTGTGCAGTTCAGATGCGGTCACCTGTATGCTTGCTTAATCTCTACTAATTAATGAAAAGTAAACCTAAGTGGGAAAGTCATTGAGTTGATACGGTCTGTTTACAAAGTTAAAGCCTGTTAACAGGCTTGAAGTCGTAGCTGAAATTGCAGTTTGATCTTTGTACACGAGTGCATGAACTCTTTGAGGCTCCACATTCAGCGCCTCTCCAAGCTCAACTTGTGTTCTGTACCTTATCCTTTTATTCAGGGGACCTCAAAACAGTTGTAATTTCTAAGATGTGAAGATGATAAAACTAAAACAAAAACAAAAAAACCTGCCAATTGAGACCAGGGCCTCTACCTACTTTGAGCATCCTATTTACAACACAAGCCAACCAAATGCCCCCAGGAAGCTGACAAACACGGTGTGAAGGCACAGCCCTCCCCTGTAGTGTGCTTCCAATGCCTGTTATTCATAGGTATACTGCCTCTGGTCTTGGAGGTTCCATGTCAATCTGTCCATCTGTTTGCCACGACGGCTCATACCTTTCCTGAGTTTTTCTAGGCTGCCAGTCGCTAAGCAGTCACCAAGCGCTTCCATCTCTGCACCAGAGGTACTATTCCATCCCCTAAACACCCAGTACACCCCATTGGATAAAGTTGTTGTTTAGTTGTTTAGTCGTGTCCGACTAAACGCCATGCACCAGAGCCATGCACCAGAGCACGCCAGGCATTCCTGTCTTCCACTGCCTCCCGCAGTTTACTCAAACTCATGCTGGTAGCTTCGAGAACACTATCCAACCATCTCGTCCTCTGTCGTCCCCTTCTCCTTGTGCCCTCCATCTTTCCCAACATCAGGGTCTTTTCCAGGGAGTCTTCTCTTCTCATGAGGTGGCCAAAGTATTGGAGCCTCAGCTTCGTGATCTGTCCTTCCAGTGAGCACTCAGGGCTGATTTCCTTCAGAATGGAGAGGTTTGATCTTCTTGCAGTCCATGGGACTCTCAAGAGTCTTCTACAGCACCATAATTCAAAAGCATCAATTCTTCGGCGATCAGCCTTCTTTATGGTCCAGCTCTCACTTCCATACATCACTACTGGGAAAACCATAGTTGGTGGGTGGAAAATATATGATGTGTATAATGTCTATAGCAGGAGATCTTTGTAAACACATTGGGAAGGCTCATACAGCTCCAAGGATCCCTTTCATGCCACCCCACATTTAGTGGGTTCTGCGTGCGCGCCAGTTCTTGGCCCTTGCATGCATTCGCATGAACCAGATAGCTGCCACAAGCAGAAGGCAAACAGCATCTGCTTCAAAGTGGGATGGTTGTGCAGTGGCTCACTTCTTTGTCGAAGCAAAAAGCCCAGCGCCCTTTTCTCCAGAGGCTCTAGGTTTGCAGTAACTACATGAAAGTGCTACGAAATGTTCTCTGCTCGTCCCCCACCCCCTGGCTGCTAAACAGGTTTCGTAGACCATAGCATCCTGTTAGTAAAATAAACTAAATGAAATGGGGAGAATGAAACTGTCTTTAAGTACGTGTAACCACATTATTTTCCTGTGCCTCTTGCTGTTTAAACCTAAGTCTTTCTGACCCATATATTAGTACCATCATCTGGATTACATAATCCCAGATGTTTGCATATTGTTTCGTGAGCTCATCTGTCCTCTCTGAACTATATTGTGCTATATGATGGAGTCACAGCTTTTTTTTAAAAAAAAAAAAAGGAAGATTAAATCCTAGTAAAAGCTTACTTTAGCCTCGTTTTGTGGATCTGTATGATTGCAATAATATCTGTTTCCATAGCATCTACATGGATCCTATACAAAAATCCGTAGTGAAAAGAAAAATTTACGTCAATTCTTGGCATGACTAATGCTTTTGTCTGGCTTTTGTCCATTGTAATGGTTCTCTTTATAACTGAGCATGATGTGCGAACGATCTTGTCTGCTGCAAATAGGACCTGGTTTTTGGCATATTACATTGTTTCACTACAGTTTCTGTAATTGCCTTTTTCAGTTAATAGACAATAGCTTGCAGCTTTATATACCATATTTTTCCATGTGTAAGACTGTGCTTTTTTCTAAAAAAAAAAAAAAAGGCAAAAATTGGGTGTCCTCTTACACACGGATAGTGAATGCAGGGGAGGGGGGTGTGCTATTAATGGCAGTAGCAAGCAGGCAATTGGGCAGGTGATTGGCAGCAAGTGGGCTGTTGATGGCGGTGAGCAGGCAGATAATTGGTGGCTGCGGCGAGGTGTGCGATCGGCAGTGACCTCCCCCACCCCACCCCAAAAAGCTAAACAACTCAAATCCTTAATTTCAGGTTAAAAAAATTAGGGGTCGTCTTATACATGGGGGCGTCTTATACACAGAAAAATATGGTATGTTAGGGCAGTGGTTTTCAAACAGTGAATCCTGGGTTTCCTCTCAAGTCACAGGTTTCCCATGCCTGTTGTAAGGAAAGCTCTTTACCTTCCTCAGACTTTACCTTTTCTGTCCTTATTTAGTCCTATGGACAGCTCAGTTGGTAGAGCATGAGACTCTTAATCTCAGGGCTGTGGGTTCTGTTGGGAAAATGCCCCCGGGAAGGGTGCCAACTTCCCAAGACACCGAGGCATCTCTCCGGTGGTCACTCTCTGGCTGGAAACTGCCCTCTGTCCAGAGAGACTGGTAATAAGCGACCCCTCCATCCTGAGAGGAGCACACTCATCTTCTGGTATCACAGAAGAAAGAGACAGTCAGTAATCTACTCACTACTTTATTTACAGACTGTACACAGAGCTCTCATCCGACATGTCTGCTCTCCTGAGCAGCAAGCACAGAAGTCATACTCGACACACACTTCAACTCAGAAGCGAAATTAACTCTCTCCAGTTACTGAGAACAAGCAGAGACTTCCTCTCTCACGCTCACAGACATCACATGATGTCAACACCATTGTGCTGCTCCTCGCAGCTGGTGAGAAATAAAAATCCCAACAGGTTCGAGCCCCATGTTGGGTGAAAGATTCCTGCATTTCAGAGGGTTGGACTAGATGACCCCCATGATCCCTTCCGTTCCAACTCTATGATTCTAAGTCCTGTAGTCCTGTGCATATGTAGCTGGGTGTAAGTTTGTTGAACTTAGTGTGATTTATTTCTGAGTAGTCTTGCATAGCGTTTGGTTGTACAGTGCTAAATCCTCTTGCCACGTTCAATTTTGCAAACTTTTCCCCTAGAGGAAAATTCAATTCAAATTAAGTAAGAGACAGAAATAATTCTCCCCCACCCCATAAGGCCAGTGCACTTGGAATGAAAATTTAAAGGCATGTCAATTATGTAGACTTTAATCTATTTCCCATGGTTATTGGCAAGAGATAAACCCTAAGATGGAGCTGCATCTGCTGCTAAAGCCATATCTGACTTCAGTTGACGGATTTAAAAATAAAACCCTGAACTAACATGTACTAAGAAGAAATGTTTTTAAAGATGTCCGCCCACCCGCTTCCCCCATCTCCCCAGGAAAATATTAACTGGTAAAAGTGGTTCCCAGGAGTTTGTGTGGTGATTCTTAGATGGGAAAAGAAGAGTTTTGGATTTGATATCCTGCTTTATCACTACCCTAAGGAGTCTCAAAGCGGCGAACAATCTCCTTTCCCTTCCTCCCCCACAACAAACACTCTGTGAGGTGAGTGGGGCTGAGAGACTTCAGAGAAGTGTGACTGGCCCAAGGTCACCCAGCAGCTGCAGGTGGAGGAGCGGAGACGCGGACCTGGTTCACCAGATTACGAGTCCATCGCTCTTAACCACTACACCACAATGGCTCTCACAAAGATGATATATTTTCCCTACCGAGAGAGAAACTTGAACCAAAAAAAACCATTCTTCCTTTTTTAATTCAAACAACTTGAAAGAATAGCTTGAGACAATCTTTGAAAGTTTAACGATCACGTGAGCAGCAGAGAACTATGTCGTGTGTTATGCTGGAGACACCTCAGTTTGCCAACAAATCAACCAGCCTTGATGCACATGCCTGTATGATATTGCAAGTGTGTGTGTGTGTGTGTGTGTGTGTCGCAGTCACACTTTACATTTTTAGGTCAATCCAAGGATACCCCCAATATTATGTGAAGCTGGTGAAATCAGGAAGATTCTGCTTTGTACAAAACTGCTAATTTTAAGTGCTGGGGATTGTACGTAACTAGAATCCTTATGCAGTGAGACATTGAGGTTCTGCTTCAATCCAGAAGCTGCCTTGACAGATTGTAGAAGGTCTGTTTTGTCTTTTATTTGCTTCTTGTTTTGTGTTGTTGAAGTCCTGCTCCCCAGTGCACCGAGAAGGATTAATGCCATGAAATACGCTTCTAGGCACGGGTCCTTCTTTGGATTGGGTTTCCATGAACGGAAAGGTGTTCTGCTTCAAAAGCCCAAGGCTATGAAGTAAGTGTGGGCTCTGGGCTGTGTGGGCATCTGTTAGATAGTTCTTTTTGGGGAGGAGCTCCTTCAGGCAGCACTGTGGATGTTTCTCCACCCCAGTATGAATGAGGGAGAGTGGGACAGCTGGAAAATATTGGTAACTTGGAAGTAGTTTTCAATTTAAAGCTAATGGGGATTATAATGGGGCTTCAATCACAAGTACATTTTCTACAGAATTTCTTTTAAAGTAAACATTCGGAAATAACAATATGTGCTAGACTCTTTTTTTAATTAAACCTGCCATTCTGCTCCAAACTGTGAATTGCTGCCAAATGCTGGTATAAATCCTTCAGAAATTACAGCGTCACCATTGCTCATTGATCCTGGCCAAGCAGCCTGGAACTGGAATTTCTGTTGTTGAATTCCTGTTGAAATTATCTGTGTGACCAGAAACTTTCTGGTGCTCATATGGGCATGGTTGTCCATGTATTCTGGACCCTGCTATTATCAGATACAGTTAACTCTCATGTTTACTTTACATTACGCAGATGGACTCATAGTCTAGCCAATCTGGCAGACACTGCAGTTGGGGAGAAGGCATGCCAAATGGGAAGGACAAAAATGGGGGTGAGCTGCAATTGGATTGATGTACTTGAGTCAGAACAGTTAAATATTTTAATTAAAACATGCAGTATCTGGCTGGCTGATCTGCCCCCTTTTGGATATAGCATCATCTCTGCCTCCCCACCCAGTATTTTCAAAGCCAAATATTTATGGCTCCAAGGTTTAATTGGTAGATAAATGAACTAAAATTTCAGTTGAGTAATAAACTAGGCACCCCTTTTAATAGGCGAAGTTGTGAATCAAAGGACACATTAATCTCTGAGGCATTTATTTATTTGGAAGATTTATAAGCCACTAAACATTATCAAAGACAACTGT